CCCGCCTCAACTAGAGGGACATTCGAAACCGACCCCACTCTAGCACCCCCCGAGCACGCCTAATACCACTAGTCGAGCTAAGGAACACCAGAACCCCTCTGACTAACACCACAAGCCGAAACAGGGGCGGCTTGGGCCCTCAACTCCGACACACCATCAGAGCCCCACCTCGCCTCTCGACCCACATACTAGCAAATGTCTCCGCTTTCCACCGGCACCAGAACGAGAGGAACCCCGAACGGGGTTACGCTGGAAAAAAAGGGACCGCCCAAAGGGCCCTCCGACTAATATGGTGATTTCTTTTTAACGGACGTTAATAAATTATTATTGATGTGAAAATATTGTTTAGTGTTTGCCATGTAGGAATAGATAATTATAATAAATAAAGTCACCTCATATGACACATCATATTGTGGCATGGCTTATGGGGCTCGTATGGGCGCCATAGAATTTCTGTCTTGACAGTGGGCATGACTATTATTCATTTTCTTTTTCTATATATCTTTATTCCTTACCTTTCATTATATGTGTGGTTATAAAAAAATGATGTAAAATGGTTTTAAAAAACTGCGCATAATTGAATATGTAAATTGCATAATTCAACGGCTAGAGGAGTCGTCTATCATTGCCAATGCATATTTAGAAGTATACAATTTGTTATGGAGCAATCGGATGACTCGGCTTATGAAGTCATCTATAGTTATCACAAATAATGTATTGACACGTGTCCTACAATAGATACACTTTGGACATGTGCCAATACATTAGGGGATCGATGGCTCCATAAATGCATCCACAACCCAATTTCACAAATACGATTCATTCAATCAAAAAGTAACACACTCTCTCATCCATATCATCTTGTCACTATATCTCTCCATTTAAACAGACATCCACGTTCCTTTCCATTCATTTAAATGCATATATGAAACCCATTATCCACTCATTCAATATAAATTTTAATATTCTACTCTCAATAAAAATAAAAAATAATATTTCTAAATTATAATAATAAATTTTAAATGTATGAAAATAAAAAACACTACAAGACCAAAATAACTTAAATTAAGATTACACAAGATAAAATTTAGAAAGTGTGATATCGAAAAATTTGAATTTATCATAATTAGAAAGTGTGATATAGATAAAAATAATTAAGTATAAAAAAAGAAAAAAGACTGAATAAAAAATTAATTTAAAACAAGAAAAAAATAAATGAAGTAATATGCCGTTCAAGACCTTGAACGACA